TGGCAGGTGGTTGCAGTGGTGGAGGCCCAACATTTAACTTTAGACATGACTGTCAGCGCTGAATACATTGAAATTCTGAAGCATTCTAAATTCTAAACTGAAAATTACTACATGTATATAAAGTGAAAATCTTTTATATTAGGGTCTAAAATACTTAAAGTATTTGAAGTATTTTACTTGTAAGAATTTGCCTATTTATGAAATAACCCACTACACTGAGATGTTTAGTTTGTGTGCTCAGATGTTTTTCAGAAGTCAGAAGTCAGAAAGAGCTTTATTAGCAACTATGTTTACACACACAAGGAATTTGACTTAAGAAAGTACAAACATACATGATAGTGCAGACATACATAGGAATTACATAGTAGAGATGAAATATAACACTAATGTAAGAAAAACAGAAAATTAAATAATGCATATACAGAGGTAGAAATATATATAAAAAACATAATTGTTTAAATGAATGTAAAGATATGTTATTACAGTTATTTACATATGTACAGTTTATGTACTTTACAAATGTAAAATTTTCAGATGCTATGTATGAATGTGTCAGTTATGAACGTTCAGGCTGAATACAGTCCGCGGGAAAAAACTGTTCTTGTGCCTGTCTGTTCTGGTGGTCGGTGCTTTGTAGCGCCGACCAGAGGGCAACAGTTCAACATACCTTAAAAACACTCTCTTAAACCTGGCAGTAAGTATGTAATTTTAGCATGAAGTTAGGATTTTAAGATTGGGATTTAACATTTTAGCGTAAATGTGGGATTTTCGAATACCTTCAGTTTATTGTAGTACAGGCCTCACAGCCACATATTTTGGTTTTATGTTTTTTTTTTTTTTGTTTTTTTGCCACAGGTGTCCACTAGAGGGGCCTCGTGAGACATTTATCAATAATATGAGGCGGCATCACTTTTTGCAACTCTTTTAAAAACATGATGCATGGGTGTAACGGTACACAAACATGACGGTTCGGTATGTAGGCCTACCTCGGTTTTGACGTCACGGTTTCGGTACAGCAGGGGGAAAACTAAACATACATTTTTTTTAATAATTTTTTTTTTATTATTAAACAGTGGTTTACTGAAAAAATTGCTCTTTCTTTAAATACATTTCATTATAATTAAAATGTTCTTATGGATAAAAATCTATCTTAAACTTAAATTTAATTACTATTTATTTTTAAATATAATAATGAACACTCAACTTAAAAAAATGTATGCAAAACATGTAAATTGCACATAATACAGGTTTTAAATTAACTTTGAAATTATAACAATTTTATTTGTTGTTGAAATATAATCATTTACACAGTGCCTCTCATAACTCGTTTCATAACAGATTTATTTAAACATTAAATAAGAAGACATCACTAACAGATAAAGTAAAATATAATGATTATGATTATGATATTATAAGTCTATATTGATACTATAAGAAATATTTCGCGAAATGGTCTTCTCTGCACTTAATTTCTCTAGCGAACTAACGAGTTGTGGACACTGATGGCTTGCCTGGGGCGGAGGGGGGGTTATAACATTTGAGTACCATTTTTAGGGGCTAAAGCTCCCCTAAAAATGGCCTGGCGATTCCCATTTGAAATGCTACGTGACATTTTGTTTACAAGCTGTTTTACTGCAGTCTTTCAGCGGTTGAAATGCTGATTGAGCGATAACATGAGGCGTGAGATGTTCATTCATGTTTATTTCGCGGTAAAACTAGTAGTAAAGAGGAAGGGATGATCGCGTTGCCGCTTGAACTGAGGCGTTTATACAGCGATCTCTTGCGCCACATGAAAGAGCGCCAACTAGCATTTAATATTTGAATTTCCTGCGGTTGAAATGCTGATTGAGCGATAACATGAGGCGTGAGATGTTCATTCATGTTTATTTCACGTTAAAACTAGTAGTAAAGAGGAAGGGATGATCGTGTTGCCGCTTGAACTGAGGCGTTTATACAGCGATCTCTTGTGCCACATGAAAGAGCGCCAACTAGCATTTAATATTTGAATTTCCTGAAAAAAAAAGACATAATTTGAAACATTAGACTTCCAATGAAGTTACGCTCCTGCAATATATCAATTAAAGCACATTTATTGTAAATAACAGAGAAATCATTTTAGTAAAATGTATACATTTCTCATGTGCATACATTGAATTATCTTGTACATTTTTCTCTCGGTCTTCTAGGGGCGCTGGACTTTTGTTGAAAGCTTAAAGCAGCATAATTCAAAGCATCTCTGTCTTCATCCTACAACAATTATGATACATTCAGTCAAATATATTGACTATAAAGACTAGGCATTTATATTGAATTACATATGGTATAAAAGCACATGAAATATTAAAATGCTTACCATTAAGTGACCACTCTGAATATTCTGAGTCCCATCTTGAAAAACAATAAGAATTGGAACACATAACTGCACTGTCATTGAAGAATGTTGATTTGCTCACATATTGGAAAAATTGTATGCAGTAATTCCTACCTTTTTTTCGCTGCTTGTACAACTGTGTACCCAGAAATATGATCACAATCACTGATTGATCGCGTTGCCGCTTGAACTGAGGCGTTTATACAGCGATCTCTTGTGCCACATGAAAGAGCGCCAACTAGCATTTAATATTTGAATTTCCTGAAAAAAAAGACATAATTTGAAACATTAGACTTCCAATGAAGTTACGCTCCTGCAGTGGTTAAAACAATGCTGTATTTGTTCGGTACACATGCGTACCGAACCGAAAGACCTGTACCGAAAATTTTCGATACGAATACGTGTACCGTTACACCCCTAGTATCACCCTATAGGTCATTAAACATATTTCTGCAACATTCTCTTCAATGTTCATGTGAAAATATTGCTTACACTACATTCTAGATGTAAGAAAAGCATGTATCGACTTATAATTAATATAGTTGTCATGAGTAAATGTCATCAGTATGTGTTAGTGCTGTAGTATAGTACAATGTAGTCTAACTACCTTATTCTTATTATACCTTATTCTTTATTGTTATTATGCAGTAGTCTGCATAACTAGAAAATAATGCAAACATGGTCATAAATAATTGTCACATTTCAGTACCATGGACAGGGGGTTCAACTACTCCAGCTCTTCTCAACCTCAGATTTTTTCAACAAATCAGTCAATCTTAAATTGATATGCTGTATTGATGCAGAAATCCAACAAACAAGGGTCCATGAAGGTTGCGTAAAATGACATGTCAATCAGTTCAGTTTATTTGACAGAATGAATAAACTTACACTGAAAGATTTTTTTGACTAGAGAAGCAATTGTCACTCAGAAATTGCTAGTAAATGTTACAATTAACATCAAGTAACACACTAACACACTGAATTAAATGGGGAATTTTGAAGTAGAAAACCAAAAGAGTATTTTACTACTATAGTACTCCAGTAATCTTAGTTTTATCTCACATATTGGAAAAATTGTATGCAGTAATTCCTACCTTTTTTTCGCTGCTTGTACAACTGTGTACCCAGAAATATGATCACAATCACTGATAAACAGTTTAAAGTTCCTAAAACCAGGGCAATTATCCATGGTGTCTGAAAACCTTAATTCAAAATTAAAGTAATTAAAAAATTGGCAATAAATCTGTGAGCAGACATTGAAAATTATGCAACTTAAATGGGCACCTGGCATGTCAGGTTTTCTTGCATCCCCAAACAGTATCTGTCCACATGCGGCCACAGCGCAGTAGTAAATCCCAGCATCAGAGTGACTGAGGTTCCCCTTGGGTAGGCTGTAGATACATTTATGTGCAGTAGAGTTCACATCAGAGCTCCTCTCACATTGAGCGTTCCTGCGCTCCTGAGTGAATATAATTCCTGGAGGAGATTCTCCAGATTCACGTCTGAACCAGTAGACGTTGTGTTCTCCTGCACAGCTCTGAGTGAGGACAGTGCACTGCAGCGCCACTGCAGAGTCTTCTGGATGCACTGGATCTATCACAGCTGTCTGATCGTCAGAGTGCATGTTTAGTCGTCTGCCTAAAAAGAAAATAAACAACAATAACATGATTGTAATTTGACCAGACACAATGTGCCAAAATACATGTACCACAGTAAAATTTAAGAAAACTTTCTGCTTACCTTTAACAATGAGATCAGTGCCTTCCCCAAATATGAACTTATATATATATTTAACACAATAGTATGTTGCAGTGTCCGATTCTTTTGCATTTGTGATGCTCAGATTAAAATGGCTGTCATCTTTTTCTACAAAAAAGCGATTATGTTTGTTAAAGTCATTTTCAAACACAGCAGGTAGAGCTTGATATGACGAAGTGATTAAAAGGGGTTTCTCTCCAGCTCTTTGTTTGACCCAAGCAACAGTGGTTCTTGACTCTTTTGGAAAAGTACAGGTGAAGTTAACACTGTCTCCTGCTTGAACAATCTTCAGATGATTCTGAGACTCGATGTCTGCATTATCTGAGCTGCCTGGAAAAATTCAAAATGCCATGGATGAGAAAATGTTAGCTTGCAGTAGAATTGCTTCATTATGTAGTGCAGAAACATAACTACTTACATTTAGAAAGGTAAATCAAAAGGATGAAAAAACGATTAATCATTTTTAGGAGATAGTTCTGAGCTGGTTGATTCAGAACCTTTAGGGTAAATCATCTAGAAAAAATAAGAGTGGTAGATCTTTTAAATGAAGAAGAAATGTATAAACACAGGAAACATAAAACACCTTATTTATAGCTCATATCCAAGTTGTTTATTTTATTTTATCGAGTAAAAACTTTTTTAGATGTTACTAATGTTTAGGTTACCTGGCAAGACAAGAGTTTTTCATTGTGTGGATTAGAAACATTTTTAAACATACATTTTAATGCAGGGCCACATGTCATTCATGAATATGTGGTATATATCCAAAAGTTAATAACTAAACAAAATATGAATTCAAATACAGGCTCTGTTTAAAATCTGTACTTACAGACTTCATTAAAGATCAAGGTTGGTTTTCATGTAGAATCTATCACAGGTTTATCTTCCTTCTCAACACAGTCTGAAAGAGAAAGACACACAGAGACTCACCTTTATATGCTGTACCTCCCTTTATGAAAGAAAAGCAGCTTTACATGATTCTATTGGCTGATTCACCATACTGTTCATTTTAATGCCATGTTCACGGTCATAGTAACAGCAAATCTAAAGTTTTCTAGTAGACTGACACACTTGCACCTGAATGCAATATAAATGAAACATCTACTAATAGTACAAATATTTATTGATACAAATGAATTTATTAACACATCAAAGTAGTTACCATATGTTGATTTAAACATGTGCATGGCATCTGTTATCACCCCATGCTATTGGAAAGATATGTTTGTTTGTCGCTTTTCAGCAGAAGAGGCTGTATCTGTATCGAATTCTGTAATTCTGTAAGGTGGAATCTTTTTTTTTTTTTATACAGCAGTTGGCTGTGAACACAACTGAAGTGCATGTTTTTCTTCCTTCCTGCTTTCACTCTTTAACCACAGCTAGAGGATCCTGCACCACAATTATACAACAACAGAAATTTATGACAAGAACTGAGGCTGGTACCAGTTTAATACCTTGACCTTGAAACCGTAAAAGTTGTTTGTCTGCGCTTGTTTAGCATCATAATGTTATGCACAGAATTATATTTACTCAAACTAAATGAAGCATTTGGATCATGTGGCCACTTAATTATAAAGCAAATAAAAAGATAATAAAAATGGACAGAATAAATTCTACGTTATTCATTTTTTGGCATTATTATTCTGCCTTTCAATTCATTATTATTAAATATTACTCATATCTGTTAGTTATTCACATCAGGTACGTATTATGACTCACTGTTTATGTACTGAAGCTTCTTCTAAATAATTACATGTAAAATGTGCTATTTAAAGATTGCTATTTTTGTGGCAATTGTTGAACTTACTGTATAATTAGTGTCAGAAGAAAAAAACAATGCATGTAACGGAAAAGAGCAGTGAAAATCATTTCCGCTCAGAATGGTGTTTGTGGGCTGTGAATGAATGTGGGAGGTAAAAATAGAGCAGGGTGGCTAAAAGTGCTAAAATATATATACTGTAGGTCACACGAGTTGCCTGATAAATAAATCATGTTGATTTATTCACTCATTTATGGACACCCTTATGCTTATGTAATTCAGTAATCCTCCACCTTTTGTAAGCAATAAAATTGTTAGTAGTTTACACTTTTAGCATATCAGCCTGATTCTTGCTGCTGCCGAATGCACAACAGGCCTTACAATTTTAATACCCTCAGGATAGTTTTACCACATTTTTCCACCAGAGAGAGTTCATCTGCAACCTCTGTCCATCATATAATATTTCTATGTTCTCCTGTATTATTCACAAGTCAACAGGCAAATACAGCAAAATACATAAAGAAAAATTATCGCTATTTAATGAAGAGGTCCAATTTAGACCAATTAGAACAAAAACTTTTTTTTAAACATTATTTACTGCAAGAGTAAAATGCACATTAACCATTACCTGCACATAGACAATAATCTCAGTCCTCATCTTTTTTATTTGCAAAAGACTGACAATATTGTTTTTAAAATGGCAGAAGACAATTATAAAACACATAATTGCTTTACTTTATTTAACTACAGTGTGTAAAAAAAAAAAGGTTATTTTGAATCATGATCTACATGGACATGGGTCAAAGGTCAAGATGAATTATTAGAACATTATCTATTACTGAATCAATAATTATATTGCACATGGGAAATGCACATGCTTGTGTCACACTCTAAATTCATGAACAGTTTATTAATGGGCTTAGTCATATCTGTGAACAAGCATGTCATCAATTTCTGGATAGATTCAGAATCTAATGAAGTCATGCTACTACATTACAAAAGCAGTATGACTCAAGAATGTTATTTCAGTACCACGGACAGGTATTTAACACAATTTAAGCACATTTTATTAATATAATGTGTCACTTGCACAACCGCTTCTAAACTTTAGACTGTTGCAATAAGACAAAAATGTATGTACCAATATACACCACATTAGTGTGTATACATATGTATATTTATGTATACATATGCAACAATTAAGGTAATGGCAAACATCCAATGGTGTTTAAAGCAAACACTGATGCTGTAACTTAAAGCATGGGTTTATGAAATTTATCACAGGTGTTAAATTCTATTATAGGCTAATAAATAAAAATTAATTTATGTATACATATGCAACAATTAAGGTAATGGCAAACATCCAATGGTGTTTAAAGCAAACACTGATGCTGTAAATTAAAGCATTGGTTTATGAAATTTATCACAGGTGTTAAATTCTATTATAGGCTAATAAATAAAAATTCAGTTCTACAAAGTAACTGGATTTGTGTCATAATAGTTTACCTCTGAGTGACCAATGCAGTTGTCAGCTGGAAGAACATGTAGTATAAGTATATATATATATGAATTACATTTTGAGTTAAAAACAAATGAACCTCAACAGATTTGAATTAAATGCATTATTTGATGCAACTTTGTTGATTTATAAATTCATCAATAAATAATAATGATTAAGGCTAACATAGCTGATTAATTGAATACTCACAAACTAAATAGTTCACAACTTGTAAAATGTGTTGGTCTTGGTTTCTGACTATTTTAACTTCTAAATTTTATAGCTTCCAAATAGAGACTTCTGAATTTTAGAACTTTTCAATTTAAGTCAAATTTATTGATATATCACATGTGCATATAGTGAATTGTCTTGCGATTTTCTTTCTCTGGGTCTTCTAGAGGTGGAGGGCTTTTGTTGAAGGCTCAAAGCTGCATAATTCAAAGCATCTGCGTCGTCAGCCTGACATAGAACAGTAATTATGAAACATTCAGTCAAATAGATTGCGTAAAAACATACAATTAAGTATAATATTTAGATGGGTAGCAGTGATTAAATTCATCGAAAATGTATTTTTATTGTATTGAAGAAAAAAGCATTTAGATTACCGTAAGCTGACTGTTTTGCATCCCATCTTGAAGAAACAATGTGAATTTGCACATATTACAGTTTCACTGATATTGAACACTGTATTAAAACTTAAAATTGGCATGTTAAAATGAAATAATGCATACCTTTTTGCCGGTACTTGTACAACTGTGCACCCATAATGATAATCACGATCACAGATAAAGTTACTATAATCAATGCTGCTGTAATCCAATGTGTCTGAAAGCATTTGTCTGTAGTAATGCAAATAAACAATGTATTTTAAAAAATATATTAGTGCCATCTCAGGAAATTATTTTTATTGAAACTTAAATATGCACCTGGTAAGTCAACTGTTATTGCATCCCCAAACAGTATCTGTCCACATGCGGCCACAGCGCAGTAGTAAATCCCAGCATCAGAGTGACTGAGGTTCCCCTTGGGTAGGCTGTAGATACATTTATGTGCAGTAGAGTTCACATCAGAGCTCCTCTCACATTGAGCGTTCCTGCGCTCCTGAGTGAATATAATCCCTGGAGGGGATTCTCCAGATTCACGTCTGAACCAGTAGACGTTGTGTTCTCCTGCACAGCTCTGAGTGAGGACAGTGCACTGCAGCGCCACTGCAGAGTCTTCTGGATGCACTGGATCTATCACAGCTGTCTGATCGTCAGAGTGCATGTTCAGTTGTGCATCTAAAAAGAAAACGGATAAATAATATTCAGTTATTTATTTGATTAAACAGAATATACAACATACAACTAAGCTTGTTATTGTTCATCTTACCTTTTACAATAAGGTCAGTTCCGTCCCCGATTGTAAACTTAAAAAAATGTTGAATGCAATAGTATGTTGCAGTGTCTGATTCTTCTATGTCTGTGATGCTCAAATTAAAACTGATATCATCTTTTACAATAAAATAGCGATTATGTTGGTCAAAGGCATTTTCAAATGTGCCAGGTAAACCTTGATATGATGAAGCAATTGGAAGGGGTTTCTCTCCAACTCTTTGCTTGACCCAAGCAGTGCTGGTTCTTTGCTCTCTTGGAAAATTGCATGTGAAGTTAACACTGTCTCCAACTTGAACAATCTTCAGATGATTCTGAGGCACAATGTCTGCATTATCTGAGCTGCCTGAATGAAATCAGTATAATAGGAATAGGTGAGAGTATGCTTAGTTTTGTTTGCTTTTAAGAACAATCATTTAGCAAAGTAAAAACAGGTATGCATTTAGTCTAAGTGTAGCAAAATATAGTTACTTACACTTTGAAATGTTAAGCATTAGGATGAAAAAATGAAGCATATTGTAGAGCTGGCTACAAACAGGTTGAAATGAAAATCTCTACCATGAAAAAGAGAAGGGAGAGAACACATTCAGATGTATAATAATAATAATAATAATAATAATAATAAAAGATTATCTTTTATTTTCCTTTATTTTGTCAAATGCAGAGAAAGAAAGCTAATAATAATAATAACAACAACAGAAATGCTAAATTAATTTGACCAAACATCCCAAGGCAGTACTTTACAGGGCACTGTTACCAAACTTCAAAACATCCATTATGGTGGTCCATTACTGTAGTTAATAAGCTTGACATACTAAAAAGTTACTCTAGCAAACTACTACTATTCTCTAACAAACAAATCTCTGTTTTAAAACTGTATACTTACAGGCATCATTAAAGATCATGGGGTTTGGCCATATGACCATCAGACAGGTTTTATGTCCCTCCTTGATAGTGAGACTGAAAGAGAGAAACACAAAGAGGTTTGCCTTTATATAGTCTTACACTTCCCTATATGCTAAAGAACAACAACTTTACATAATTATATGTGTGTGTGTGTGTCTGTGTGTACAAAAACACCTACATAAAGACGTACTTGCATACATAAGTTCATATAAAAATAAAGGAAGTAGAAGAGCTCATGGCCCTAAATTTATAGCATTTTTGCACTGAATTCACAAAACACATACAAAAAAAAAATCATTTTTTGTTTTTGTCTTCAAAAAGTTTTTGTCTTCAATCTAAGCGTGACTATACACTGATGAGATTTTCCTGTAATGGTAATGCTAAATAAATGATGAAATTACAATTGTATACCAGTTCAACATTTATTGTTAGATTTTTAGTTCCACTTTTAATGTCTAGGTAATGTTTTAATCATCTGCCACATTAATGACTTTGAATTATCTTCATTTGGGAGATTTCTCTGGTAGATACTGTTATGCAATTAATTGACTGACAGCTCTGTTTTACATTCATCATCAAAGTATGTGGATCACATGGTCCCTTCAGAAATAAATAAAAAAAGAAATGAATTCTAAATAAAACCTTGTTAGAGAGCCTAGAGGTCACTTTGAATGGAAACCTTCTGTGTAGCACTGCTAACAGACAGAAAAGAAAAGAAATAACACCTATGTGATGGAAAGAGCTGTGAATATGGTCTCTTGAAAATGGGTCTTGGGTGAAAAATTTGGGTATGATCAAAGAGTTGGAAGGGAGGTCAGTGTTGTGGTCGGAAAGATTGCTTATTGGTGCAAAGTATTTAAAAAAACAATGTTGTTCTGGGAAATTCACCTCAACAAGTTTAAATGGTACCAGTGGCAGGTTGCTGAGCATGCTTAGTTTGATCACTGATGCCCAGTCATAATGAATATCGTTTTCGAAACATATCTGACTTACATGTACTGTGTTTTGTGTACTATAGGGAATTAGGCATATTTGGATGCTGTATGCTACTATATTGAATAACAGTCAGACTTTGTGATACGACATTAAAATTAATCATATCTGCCCAATGGGTTTTAAGTTTAAGAAACGTAAGTGTGAGTTTCATAACTGCTATCATTATTTTTTACACGTAAAGCATTTGAACCCCAGAAATTAAGAACATACAAAATATAAGAGTTTATAGAGCCATTGTATCACATCAGAAGTCTCTGCTAACTGACTGAACTTTCAATCTGAAATCAAGAGGCCATTTGAGCCACATGTTCACCACAAATGTCCACAAGTGATTGCGACATCACAACATCAAAGTGATAAAAGAATAATGATAATAAAATACAAAAACGCTTGCCTTGACTGATAAAGACTGTGGTGGCAAAAACTACCACAAATCACAGAGTCATGTTTAAACAGAAGCATCATTTGTCCATATAAGGAGAAGATCTGATACTAAACAGAGTTCCAGTCAGAGGCCACAGTGTACGACATCATTTCCTGTAGAGTGACTGACAGGAAGAAGCTGCTCAGAACGGACTCAGAACTGCTGTGGTGAACATCAGCGGAGAAACATTTTAACTTTAGCACTGACATAATCGGAATAAAATAAAACTGTATGAACAGTATATAAAATTGTGTTGTAATTAAGTATTAGAAATACTGGAAATATAAATTTTGATGAATATAAGATGTTTCACCTATTTAAGAAATAATTTTCCAAAATGCATATATGTACAGTATATATTTACCCAATCTACCTGTAGTATATACACACACACACACACACACACACACACACACTATATATATATATATATATATATAGTTACAAATAAGTACACCGAGTGTTTGTTTGCACCTCTGTGCATACTTTTGCAAGCATGATTTGCATACATCACGGTTTGATCATTTTCCAACCACAGGACTGACCCACTGGTGTGTTTTCACACCCTTCTCTGAATCAAAACCACACACGCACCATTGTCAAAAAAAAAAAAAGAAAAAGAAAAAAAGTTGCCTCCATTATGGAAGTCAAAAATAACCCTTCTATGTGTACATTTTTGTCACAACTTACACCCTAGTTTTAAGTCTAGTGGAAACAGGCAGCAAAATCTTTTTAATGATTCACAAAAGTGACCTGTACTGAAAGGGTTCTTTGACTCATGATTGTATATACTGTAATAATTAGTGTAAACCAATACTGCAACAATACATATCAGGCTCAACTTTTACACCTTGAGAGCCCACTTCACACCTTAGAGCTAGGGCCGGGCCTGCTGATGCACTTGAGAACATGTGTGGCTCTTATACTGCAACCATCCTTCAGATACACATAATAGACCTGGCCAAGTAGCCTGACAAAAGGTTATTTCATTTAGAGATATATTTACTAAGACCATACTACATTTAATCCATTACATATATCTGAAAATGTGAATTCAGTGAATCTTTTGCCATTTAGGTTCAAGGGATTGGCTCAAAATAAACTGAATGCCCCTGAGTAAAAAGTCACACAGTGACAGTCAATGATCTATCCTTTTGAATAAATAAATAAATTCTATAAAAAATATGCTAAGAAAATATAAATAGACTAGAGGTTCTTAAAAGAAACAAATATTGGATTAGTATGATCACAAATTTTATTTGAAACAAAAATGTATAAAATAATTATAATTACATTAATATATGTTACATATTCAAAGATTCAGAAATGTGTATTTAAGGATATTGTAGACTGCCCTTTTATACACATTTTTATGGCAGTAAGATTCGGTGCATTAATCCTTTTCATTTGCAATAACATGCTGTTGATCAGCAGATGTCCTCGGTGTGCGTGTTTCGAATCAGTTTGCAAAGTAAATTATTTTGAATGATTTTGAATAAAAGGCTTTATTTCTCCCATAGCAATGGGCATCTAAAATAATGTCGCAAATGAAAGTAAGCAATAAATTATTATTAAGCAATCAATAATAAGCTTGATGCTATCAGCATGCCGAGAAACTCATGAAAATAGAAAGAGAGACTGAGGGACCTCCTGACCCCCTTCGTGGCCAAAATTGTATAGTCATATATCCATATTATTCTGGAATTAATCCATTAAGACCTGCTGGTATTGATATAAAAACTAATTAGGACTAATTACACACACACACACACACACACACACACACACACACACGCATATACTGTATATATAATGATTTATCAATGATTAATAAATGGAGAGCCAAGCTGAATGAAGGGAAATTATTATACGTAATTTGTAATTTTATGTAATGTAGTTATGCTTATTTAATGAAAAATTATATTCCTGAGTGAAAAAATAAACTTATTTCTGAATACTTATAAAAAGTTATATTTGTGATGAGTTTCTGTCTGTTTATCCCAAGCAGCAACCTCCCCCTCTCTCTCTGAAGCCAACAAGGAAGTGACTAAAACTGTAATTCATCAACTGGCCGTCCCGCCTCTTTGCCCATTTTCGATTATCCGGGAGTGACGCGCTGCCAAGATGGCAACGGCCGGCTCTGCCCACTTTGAGCTTCAAAAACGCTCTTCAGGAACCTACGGGTGACGTCACGGACACTACATCCATGTTTTTATACAGATTATGGTTTATCCTAAATTTAAGGGGGCGGGGTTACAGGAGTGTGCAAACAGATCAGGTGCATGAGTGGAGGTGAGAAGAGAAATGTTGAAATTGTATGCAAAATATTTTTTTTTACACAAACGAGAAAATGTAAATAGTTTAATTTTCAATTTATTTTCATTTTGGCTTTATTAATGAGCATTTTAAGTGTTTGCCCCGACAAACAGACAGATTTGCTCGCGCAGAGAGAGAGATTTATTTCTCTCGTGTTTGGTCGAGTCGTGAGTTTTGTTGGAATATTTGTGGAACATCTGGAACGTGAGGATGTTTCTCTCTCTCTCTCTCTCTCTCTCTCTCTTATTAATGAGCATTTTAAGTGTTTGCCCCGACAAACAGACAGATTTGCTCGCGCAGAGAGAGAGATTTATTTCTCTCGTGTTTGGTCGAGTCGTGAGTTTTGTTGGAATATTTGTGGAACATCTGGAACGTGAGGATGTTTCTCTCTCTCTCTCTCTCTCTCTCTCTCTCTCTCTCTCTCTCTTTCCATAAATTAGCTAATTGTTAATGTTAATTGTTGTTTGGCTTTACATTGTATTTGATCCCGGACTGAATATTTGTGAATACATTTTAAAAGTTAAATTAGCATCTCAGATGATATGCCCATTTTGAAATTATTGGTCAATAAGAAGTGGTGGTTTACTTTATTGGCACTCCTGCATAGTTATCTGCAATGTGTTTTGAGAGACTGTTGTGTTGGATAATAAAGTAAAATAGTCTTTCTGCATTGAAACCCAAAAGTTCAGTTTTTTGTCAAATCCTTGAATTGTTCTCCAAAGGCCAGGTCAGCTTTAAGGAAGACGTGGATGTGTCTCCTCCAACAGACTATTGTTGATATTTTATTTTGGGATATTATTAAATAATAATAACATTAATTGCATAATGCAAAAGTTGCAAAATTAAACCATACAAAATGAAATTATGCTACAATAAGTCACACTGAACATACTAAGTGGATCTAATTGGCAGCTGACATTATTTGCAATTGTGTTTCCCGTGTCTTCGCCATACTGGTCTGTAATGAGACTTTATTGAGGAAATTTCGTTCTGCCCCTTTTTCTGAAACAGCCAGTCAAATTTCAAAGTGTCAGTGTTTGATATTTGAACACTGCCGTATACAGTATATAAAGAGGAAGCAGCCTGAAATAAGACATACTACCAAATCGACACTTTCATCCAAATAACCAGGGCCTTTTAGTTCTTTTAAATACATATTTTAATTGTATTGCATGATAGTAATCTAAGCTTAACATACTGGATGTGTTTTACCTCAATCGTTATTAGAGGACTGTAATATAAAATTAACATTTTTTTTAAGGTTGTAAGTAATCCCTTTAAACATTTAAGATCTTTACCATATTAAGGATAGCACAACTATGTGTACCTGTATTTTTATATATATATTCTTACTGTGTTGTGTTCTTTTATTAACAAAATTAATGAGTTCTTTTTTCTTAGGTGAGGATGTTAACAGAGTCAGTGTGTTTAAATTGTTAGTGTTCTAAAGGTTGTCCATTTTGTCCATTTAAACACACTTGCATGTTCCAGACTTCTCTATACATGTGTGCTTATTTCTCTTTTAGATTAAGTACAGGTGCTACAAAATGAAGTTCAGCATTTTGTCCTACCCTTTTTCTCCTCACATTTGCAAGTATGTTTAAAATTGTATTTTAATTGAGCATTTTATTTCACATTTATGTTTGTTACCATGTCACTTTTTTGTTTTTAGATGAAACATATGAAAGTGAGAATTTTATTCATCAACATCCGTTGCTAGTTGCTGAGCTTGGAAGCAGTGTGATTTTACCCTGCTCTCACTCAGACGACTTTATAAATTCTGTTTCATGGTATAAACATTCTTTTGGCAAGAAACCACTTCTCATAGCATATTCAGAACATGGCTCTGGAAGTGTTACATATCAAAATGGCTTTAACAATACAAATAAATACTGTATCAGAACTGGAACTGGCTCTTTTAATTTGACCATCATACACTTGGAAGAATATGATTTTGCAACCTACTATTGTGCTGTGAGCTTCTTGAACATTATTAAATTTGGAGAAGGAACGATTCTTCTACATAAAGGTGAGTTTCTGAGCTTCACCCACAATCTGACTGCACATATGTGTGTTGTTTTAATGTATTTGCAGAATGTTAAATTTTTCTTTCAGAGAGTGACGGAATAAGAAGCACCACTGTTCTCCAGCAGCCTGTATCTGACAGACTTCATCCAGGAGATTCAGTGACTCTGCAGTGTTCGGTCATCAGTCAGATCTGTGCAGGAGAATACAGCGTCTACTGGTTCAGACATTCATCAGGACATTCTCATCCAGGACTCATTTACACCCGTGATAACAGGAGTGATCAGTGTACGGAGAGATCAGAGAACGGCTCTTCTACCCAGAGCTGTGTCTACAGTCTCTCTCAGACTGAACTCAGACCATCTGATGCTGGGATTTATTACTGTGCTGTTGTCACATGTGGGAAGATACACTTTGGAAATGGAACTAAGTTAATTATAGAAGGTAATATTTGATTTGCTAGAAATTATTTTTAGTACCGCAATGTCTTTGGTCATAAGTTGAATGTTATGTATTTTATGTATTTATTGTAGCACATGGAATCTCACATCTATGTCACTATTTCAGATTTACAGTTCATGTGGAACCCAATTACTTTAGTTCTGGCAACAATGAACATCATGACCATGATTGTGATTACAATTCTGCTGATAGTGATTCAAAAGATCCTCATTAGAGGTATACTTGTGCTTCTTTGTCTGATACTGTATATCAACTAGCTTCATCTTTCCACAGAGCCACATACACCATCATCATATTTTTAACCATAAATTTTGATTTGTATTTATTAAGATAAATTGAATCATCCCAGAAATCAATGGAAGCAGGTAATTGCCTTTTCTTTTCTCACAATTTAAATACAGAATGTGATTAAAATACAAAAATGATAAAACTGCCTATACTGTAAATTAGGTTAGGTTTTAATTTTTAACTATGCAATACTAAATTACTTCAGTTTCCAGGTAGGTGAAGTATTGAACAAAGTACCAAAGTTAAACTGGGATTGCAATCAGATATCAAATTCAGTTACTGTTAGTGAATAATTTTTTTCCAGAATTAATATTGCTTGAAGTGACTGAATTAACTTTACACAAAACTATGACTTTGTATAGTAGATTATACAGCAGATTTGTAGCAGAATACAAAATTATGATTTTATTTCCCATTTTTCCCTTGGCAGATCATGGATACTGATATCTTAAACCAAGAAGAGACACGAGTCATTTATACCCAGTCCATCAAGCACTAGTTTATAGTAATGATGGCTGAAAACATCACTATTGCATAGTAGTGTAGTTGTTGATGACTGATGATCATGTTGGTGAACACGACTGTAATATTTGTATGATACGTACAAGTTCACATTTTTATGTCGCTTTGGATAACAGCATCTGCTAAATAAATTAATGAAAATGCAGTATCACTGGTTAAGTTCTGTTATTGTTCTCTTGCTTTTTAAATATTTCATTTTTGCAATTATGCCATGTTATTTGTGTGGCACGTGAAATTGCATGACAGGTTTATTATATACACCCCACTTCCTGTGTCCCCATAAACCAAAAGGCTTTAAAAAAAAAAACTAAATGGTGTTTTATGAAATTAAAAAATTGCCAGTAGTTTTCTGTGAGGGGTAGGTTTAGGTGTAGGGTGATAGAAAATGCAATTTGTACAGTATAAAACCATTACGCCTGTGGAGAGTCCCCGTAAACCACATATGCACGAATGTGTGTGTGTGTGTGTGTGCGTGCGTGTGTGTGTGTGTGCGGTTCAGGTATACCCTACATCAGGGCTGTCCAATCATGCTCCTGCGGGCCACTGTCCCGCAGAGTTTAGCTCCAACTTGCCTCAACACACCTGCCTGGAAGTTTCAAGTATGCCTAGTAAGACCTTGATTGGTTCAGGTGCATTTATTTGTGGTTGGAGATAAACTCTGCAGGACTGTGGCCCTCCAGGAGCAGGATTGGACACCCATGCTTTACATAATGGGGACAAAATGTCCTCACAAAGATTCAGAATCCTTCTTCTTGTGGGGACAATTTTTGGTCCCCATGAGGAAAACGGCTTATAAATCATGCTAAACGATTTTTTTTTTTTTAAATAAAAAAATTCAGAAAGTTTTGGGTAAGGGGAGAGAATATACAGTTTGTACAATATAAAAACATATGTCTATGGAATATCCCCATAAAACATGGAAAACCAATGTGTGTGTGTGTGTGTGTGTGTGGTTGATTTTGTTGCAGAGGATTTGGTAAGCTAGTTTCCGCAATTTTTTTTGAGGTGTTAAAATGAGACTCTGAGTACTTACATTTTAGTTGTAGTTTTCAGCACAAATTATCTATAAAATAAGCATTATCAAATTCAGTCATATCAAATTGATCTTTGTCATTCTCGTAGTAGTTTAAAGCAGGTTCAGCATAACACTGACACTTTTTATGTCTAGGAGAAGAACTTCTACTGTGGGAGAACGTCTACTGTCCTTTTCTGCATATTAGTGCCTCTCATGTCTTCCACCAGGCTCATATGAATGGTCTGTTCTATTAATTAATTGTTTCCCCTGTCTGAATTTGGTATCATTTTATGTCTTATCGTGATTGTGTACAATCATCTCATTATCTCAGCGGAAGAGTAGATCATAATAAAGATTTAAAAACCATGCTTCTATTGGTGGGACATTTTTTCTAACTGCCTTTTTAAAGATCTGAATATGGTGTGATCCTTAGATCATACAGTTGGATTCTTAATTCTGTTAAAATGTAATGGTTTATTTCCTGGAGTTTAAGATCTCTTAGTTTTGATCTGGGTATTCATATGAAACAAAAGATTCACTAGGAGTAACTGGGAAATCACTGAAAACTGGAATCTGGGAGAAATAAATAATAATAATAAAAAAAACAGCACAGTTCTGTACCCTGAACACTCACACAATACTGTGTCTCTCTCTATGGTCAGGTACATGCATCTTAAACGTTTAGATTTTTTGAGTATTTGACGCCATTTGTATTGATAATTTGTGAAATTATTTATCTCAAACTCATCGTTCTCAAACTGGCACAATACATTCGACCTGACAAATCAATAAAATTACATTTAATTAATTAATAATGTCCAAATCTATTACATAATTTAAAAGAGATTTTACAGAAGTACAAAAAAAAAAGATATCCACCTTATTCCTATGCCTCATGATGCTTTGCACGAATTATGAGTATAACTTCCGTTAAGCTGTAAACAATTAGTGAAGTCTCGCTCTATGAATGCAATAATACGTTTTTTTTCTTTAACTGGATACAATGAGATGACATTATTCTACTCACCCTTCAACTATCTAACGTTAAAATGACATAAAAAAATGTAAAAGCATAAACAAGTTACTTTCAACAGACCATGAATAACCCCAAAAGCGCGATTCTTTCCACAGCAATAACGGACGGGTGAAATATCACTGTACACTCTAAAAAATGCTGGGTTGTTTCAACCCAACTTTGGGTCAAATATGGACTAACCCAGCTGTTGGGTTACATTTTTTAATTATTTTTTTTACCCAAAACCTAGAGTGTAGTAATATATCTGTATTATGTAACATACATTGCCTTAATTAAAAATGTTCATTAACTTCAGCATTGCATGTTACTATTTCAAAGTGATTTCTGTCATTTTGACAGATAATAAATTGTATAAAACTTGAAAACAAACAAACCTGGAAAGAGACGTGAGGATTTGAGGAGAAAAACGAGAGATTCTTGGTGCAGTCCACTGAATTATTAATGGAATATACTGTAAATTAAATTGGGAGAACGGTCCACAAATGTGCAGTATATGTTGTCCTTTTTCATACTATTACAGCGGAATGCAAAGGGAAAAAAGAAAATAATCATGAGGAAAAGAATGCAGCAACTGGAAAGAGCTCTTGCCATAGATATTCTTGTTATAACATGTCACGTTAATATACCAAGCGTTACGTTATTATCATGATGTCTGAAAATAAAGCATGAAGAAAAATCGACAGCTCATTCAGTCAAACAGACGGATAAGCTTTATTTGTAGGGCAACCTTATGATTTGAAATGATTAGTTTCAGTCTTTTTGAATTGAAGTTCCCCAAACCGGAATTGCCACCCATATTTCAAAATGCAGTAGGCTCGTCAGGAATAAGGTGGATATATGTTCTGGAAACCTTCACCCACTCTACTGGACTGTCACTGGGTTTGTAGGTCCTTATACAGTGTACTTTTATCTTCCTTACTTTCTCTTTACAGGCCCTCCCTGATAACAGAATGATGATAATAAAAATATTGAGGAACAACATAAATATAATATTTTCTATATATGAAAACATTGCTTCTTCTATGTTGGAATGCAGGTTCTACTTAGGTATAGTATAGCAAACACCACACTTTGGACTGAGACCCAGAAGTTCAGCTTTAGTCCCATCAGATCATTGAACAGACTTGCCCCTCTATTGGAATATATTTGAATTCTTGAAAAAAAAAGTTTGTTAATGTCTGACAAGCATAACCCAAAAATGGTAGAAAATGTAAAAATAAATTAATTAATTAATTAAAAAAACAACAACAACCTGAACTTATGCTACATGCTGAAAAGTCTCAAGATAGGTGGAAGCTATTTAATGGCTTTATTTATTATTTAATTGTTTAGGCTTTAAAACAACAACAACAACAACAAAAACTCGTGTCATATGTTAATGCCATCTCCATACCGGTGTAGTGCATATAAAGGGATGCAGGAACAATGGTCATTAAAGCAACTGTATGTTTTGTGTATGTTTGTGATTTCAGAGCCTCCTACAGTTAAGGGAGTGGAATTCATTGTCATAAATATATCCCTATCGTAATTGTCGTTAAAAAATAAAATAAAAAATGGATCGCTGTACGCCTGCATGTTACTGCCGTAAAGCAATTGGCCTTTTTCATGGGATTTTGTACTTGCCCATCAAACTTACTCCCGTAAGGCCGGATATACACTGTGCAATTTTTGTCCGATTTGGTATTTAACAAAAACGTTGCTGTAATCGCAGTGTATGCCCGGCCTAACAGAACAGACGTATGAGGGGAGCGTGGGAAAGAAACAGAAGCCATTGTCCATATTAGAAGTCAGTGTATCATCAGAATGAATTTGAAACTGCTATCAAGTTAAAACACTTACAGTTACTTTAAGTTAGCATATTTTTTTTTAGGTAGCCTATTCGTTAGATTTTCACTTTTATTCAATGTCTATATGCTACAGAAGCATTATATTGTAAAGGAAATTATTTTTGTTGTTGATAATAGATTGTGTTTGGTCACCAGCTCTGCTTGTGAATATCCACACCTCTAAAGGAAATTTTGCTCTGCCCCTTTTTCTAAAACAACCAGTCAAACATCAACATGTCAGTGTTTGATCTCTGAACACACTGCCCTATAGAAAAGAGGAAGCAGCCTGAAATGAGACCTACTACCAAATTGACACTTTCATCCTCATAACAGGGCCCTTTAGTTCTTTTAAATACATATTTTAATTGCATTCTATGATGGCAACCTGAGCTGAATATACTGGATCTGTTTTATCTCAATCGTTATTAGAGGACTGTAATATCAAATTAACATCTTTCTCGTACGATTGTAAGTAATCCTTTTAAACATTCAAGAACTTTACCAAATTAATGATAGCAAAACTGTTTTTTTATTCTTAGCCTACTGTATTTTATTATTTATTAACAAAATTAGGCTAATGAGTTCCTTTATCTTAGTAAAGTACTTAGATTCCGATGTTAACAGAGTCAGTATGTTTAAATTGTTAGTGATCTAAAAGTTGTTAATTTTGTCCATTTAAACACACTTGCATGTTCCAGACTTCTCTATACATGTGTGCTTATTTCTCTTTTAGATTAAGTACAGGTGCCACAAAATGAAGTTTAGAGTTTTGTCTACCCTTTTTCTCCTCACATTTGCAAGTATGTTTAAAATTGTATTTTAATTGAGCATTTTATTTCACATGTATGTTTGTTACCATGTCACTTTTTTGTTTTTAGATGGAACATATGAAAGTGAGAATTTTATTCATCAACATCCGTTGCTAGTTGCTGAGCTTGGAAGCAGTGTGATTTTACCCTGCTCTCACTCAGACGACTTTATAAATTCTGTTTCATGGTATAAACATTCTTTTGGCAAGAAACCACTTCTCATAGCATATTCAGAACATGGCTCTGGAAGTGTTACATATCAAAATGGCTTTAACAATACAAATAAATACTGTATCAGAACTGGAACTGGCTCTTTTAATTTGACCATCATACACTTGGAAGAATATGATTTTGCAACCTACTATTGTGCTGGGAGATTCTTGAACATTATTAAATTTGGAGAAGGAACGATTCTTCTACATAAAGGTGAGTTTATGACAATAATCTGAGCTTGACCCACAATCTGACTGCACATATGTGTGTTGTTTTAATGTATTTAGAGAACGGCTCTTCTACCCAGAGCTGTGTCTACAGTCTCTCTCAGACTGAACTCAGACCATCTGATGTTGGGATATATTACTGTGCTGTTGTCACATGTGGGAAAATACACCTTGGAAATGGAACTAAGTTAATTGTTGAAGGTACAGATATATTTATATTACATATATATATATATATATATATATATAGTACCACACTATCTTCAGTCTAGAATATTTCTTTATATTTATGTTTGTACATGAACCTAAATCTATGTAACCATTTCAGCTTCTTCAGCTTTGACCTTTTTGAATCCAGTTGTTTTAACCCTGTTCACAATCAGTATATTATCCATTATTGTGAACATATTTCTGGTGAGACTGATCCACAAGAATCACAAAAAAGGTAAATGTATTAAAATAAGTTTATGGCAAAATCAAATAAGGTACTACTATTCAACAGTAAATTGTTATTTATGAAATTTATATGAGTGAAATTAACAAAGTATATTTTATTATTATCCAAAGAAGCTTCAAAACAACCCAGAAATCAAAGGAATCAGGTAATCCATTTTTATTTGCCCTGTAAGTTATAGAGAATGCAAAGAAATTCAGATGTTGTTTTGATTAAATGTTTTTAGAAGTCTACAAAACTATTTTCCACACATTTTTTCTTCATATCAATCAACAAACAATCTGAAGTCAAAAAGTTTGAAGTCATTAAGAATGTTAATGTTTTAAAAAGAAGTCTCTTATGCTCACCAATGCTTCATTTATTTGATCAAAAATACAGTAAAAACAGTAATATAATAATAATATTATTACAATTTAAAATAACTGTTTTCTATGTTTAAAATATATACAGTATATATATTCCTGTGATGGCAAAACTGAATTTTCAGCATCATTACTCCAGTCTTCAGTGTCATAAGATCCTTCAGAAATCATTCAAGTTCAAAAGAGCAGGATTTATTTGACATTTATTTATTTATTTATAACAATGTACAATTCTTTACTGTCCTTTTATTGCATTCTTGCTGAATAAAATCATTAATTTCTAAAAAATCTTACTGATCCCAAACTTTTGAGTAGTGGTGTGTATGATAAATATAGTTTAAAGTGATGCATCTTTACTCAAAATGGTAACTTGTAGTGCAGATATTTTTATTAAAATAAACATGCATCACACTACTGATGAAGCGCTGTTGCGGCTTTAATTTAATGCTCAAGGGAAAAGAGTCGGTAGGCTAAGATAACTTAATTGTTTGTAGGTATTTATTTATTTTCCTGCTTTCTGTGTGTTTTCTATATATTGATAGTAATTCATAAAATGTTTGTTTTTCCAATTATATAGTTTGATGGTTATTATATTTTTCCTCTGCAGACTGATGAAACAGATGCCTTAAATTATGTAGCCCTGAGTTTTTCCAAAAAGCCTAACAGCTCAAAAAGATCTTCACAGAAAACCAGCCAAGAAGAAACTGTTTATTCACAGATTACAAAGCAATGAGAAAATTACTAATGCTGAGAAATTGTTGATTTTTTAATGCCAAGTTATTTTTTAATACTAAGTCAAAATGATTTTTAATTTTTGGTGAGCCATTTTGTTATTCCCTTGTCAGTGTAAAATCTGAATTGTGATGGTATAAAGAGCCACGGAGAAGATTTTGGTGTCATTAGATTCTTAACATTAATCAAGAGACAGAGGGCCCACTGATTGATATCCATTCAGTCTCAAAAACAAACATTCAGTAGGATCTGTGTAGTTCAGTTCATGAACAAATTACCTATTTTTTTATGCACAGTTCAAACAAAAAAATAAATAAATAAAAATTCCGGCCTGTAACATTGCTTGTATGATTTATCAGAGAGGCAATTTATTTTATATGTAAGCAAAATTGACATTAATCATTAATGGAAATATACTCAAATTAATGTAAAATAAATCAGATTTAATCAAGAGCTTATAAATCGAATCTGCAAATCTGTATTATTAATATCCAGCCTTTCTTGTCCAGCTAAATTCTAATTAAAGGAATAGTTCACCAAAAAGTGAAAATTTGCTTAATATTTACTCACCCTGAGGCCATACAAGATGTAGATGTCATCTCTACAGATTTGGAGAAATTTAGCATTACATCACTTGCTCACCATTTAAACCTCTGCAGTGAATGGGTGCTGTCAGAAGGAGAGTTCAAACAGCTGATAAAAATATCACAATAATCTACAAAAGTAGTAATTCACATGACTCCAGTCCATCCATTAACGTCATTTTTGGTGAACTATTCCTTTAATTGCTCTCTTTGTTTGGGCCTGGGTACTTAAAGTGCCCCTATGGTGGATTTTTGAAAATTGCAATTCATGCAGTGTGTAATGCAGCTTTATGTGAATGTAAACAGTCTGCAAAGTTGTAAAGCTGAAAGTGCATCATAAATAAAGTTTTTGTCTCTCAAAAGAAAGAGACGACTTTGAACTGCCTAAACGAGTTGTTTTAAATTCGAATCCCATTCCGCGAATTTTACACGTTACAAATTCTTATATTTGCATAATGCCCACCTATGTTCTGCGAGGACATCCTGCGAAAACAAACTTCAAACCCTGTAGCTTGTTTGTGTGGATAACGTAATGTCAAGAAGATGCTGTGCTCTGCACGGTGTAAGTGAATTCGGTTTATTTTCACTTCCAAAGGATGAGGCTGTGAAGAGTAAGGGGTTAAAATTAATCTTTACTAAGATACCACACCAGTATAATCACAACTTTTTGCTGTGTTCTCACCATTTCACTGACGACTGCTTCTCCAATCTCCACGAGTTCAATGCGGGATTCGTAAACCGGTTGTCTTTGAAAGATGGGTCAGTGCCCAGTTTGCTTGGAACAGTTTGCTCCTCCGAATCACATCCCTAAAGTATGATTAACAATTGTTGCTTTGATGTTCTGTCGAGTGTGCAAAATATGTAGTTTTGTGTGTTGTGTTGTGTATACAGTCAGTGCAGCTGTAAGTCTCTGGCTAACTCACGTTATAGTTCTGCTAATCAGCTGTGGGCCTGCTACAGTATTTTCTAGAAATGTGTTGATTAATATACAATCTCAATTTCATAAAAGTTGGGACGTTTTGTAAAATGCAATAAAATCAAGAATCTGTGATTTGTTAATGCTCTTTAACTTTTATTTAACTGACAAAAGTACAAATAAAAGATTTCCAAAGTTTTTACTGACCAACTTAATGTATTTTGTAAATATAAACAAATTTTGATTGTGATGGCTGCAACACACTCCAAAAAAGTTGGGACAGAGCAGAGGCAAAATAAAAGTGAAAAGGTTATAGAATATCAAAGTTAAACAGTTTTGAAACAGTTCACAATAAGCAGGTGAATTGGTAATAGGAGAGGGGATCATGTTTGGGTATAAAAGTAATATCACAGTCTTTGCAAGCAAAGCTGGATCATGGATCATCACTTTGTGCCAAATTTCAAGAGAAAAGTGTCAAGCAAATCAAAAATTACATTTTTCAATGCAAAATTGCAAATAATTTAGGTCTTTCACCAAAAATCATACATAATATTGTGAAAAGATTCAGGGAATCCAGAGAAATCTCAGTCTCTGTAGGGCAAAGCAGGAAACCTCATTTGAATGTGCTTGACCTTTGAGCCCTCAGATGGCATTGCATAAGAAACCTTCATGCTGCTGTGTTAAATATAACTACGTGGGATCAGGAGTACTTTGGTAAACCACTGTCACTTAACACAGTCTGCCGCTGCATCAATTAATGCAACTTGCATTTACTCTGTTACTCTAGAAGAAAGCTGTACATCAATTCTATGCAGTGATGCCACAGGTTTCTCTGGGCCAGAGCTCATCTCAGATAGTCAAAAAGACAGTGGAAACGTGTGCTGTGGTCAGATGAGTCCACATTTCAACTTGTTTCTGGGAAAAATGGACATCTTAATTTGTGTTCTGAAGATGAACGGAAATCTTACGGGTTTGGAATGACATGAGGGTAATTAATGACAGAATTTTCATTTTTGGGTGAATTATCCCATTAATTCTGGATTATAGTGTTCTCTAGTCGATGACAAGAGGTTTGGTTATACTGCAAGTCTATGAGCAGGATAAGAACACAATAAGGCCCATGATTCCCCTGAACAGATCACATCTACTGTAAGAAAGATTATCCAGAAGTGCAAGAAAAGATGTACATGAAACAATCCTTCTCCCACTTTACTGAATTCTGTCACTGAGCTTGTGGGTGGTTCTTATAAATGTTATAATCTGCCTAAATCAGGGTTGGGCAAAGATACATAAAAATGTATTTTTAAAATAAAATACCAAATACCTTCATTTTAACAAATATCAAAATAAACTACTGTATTTTTGTATTTTAAAAATACAAAAATACTTTTGCAAGGAAGCATGAAATTTCTTTGGAAACCTTCCATCAATTGGCCTATTTTATCTATCCCTTCACCATTAAACTGACGCAGTTGATTAAGTAAACAATGTTTGACAGCAACAGCTTTTCTCTGCCTGAGTCATGCAATAAATCTGACATATGCAACCAGTTAACAGATCAAATATTCACATATCCATGTGATCTCCCAGATGAAGATTAGTTTTAAAGTAACCAACAGTTTAATGTTTAACAGTTTGTAAATGATTCATAATTGTATCCTTATTTAGTTACTTGGTGTATGGTAACGAAGGGCCTACTTTGCATCAGCAACACTGACTCAATGACAAACAAGTCATTCATAAGAAGACACTGATGGCACCTATATTCATAGCAACTAGTTTCTAACTAATCAATCATTTGATTGTTAATCATAAATATAATAATATATTATGTGTCAGGTAGTCATTCATGCAATGGTATGCAAAATCATGATCCCACTAAACAGCTACTTCAAGTAAGGTACAATTTTCAGCAATCAAATATTTATTTCTCAATCATTGGACACCTATTTGGAAGTTGAAAACAAACATTTTAGCATTACAACAATTATTAAATGATCGATATGTTTTTATTTTAAATGTAGCCAGAAATGTAATCAGAAAAGAGCAATAGAACTTGTCAAGGAGTATTAATCCAACTCCAACCACTGAATCTATTGAGAGCCATAGAAGTATAGAGGACACATATATACTTATAATAAGTGCAACTGCACCAAGCACATCACATTCTATTACTCATTCATCCATGCTTCCTTTTCCACTCCAGTGTTCAAATAATTCCTGCCCACTAAAAGCTGCATGGATATATTTGCTTACCCCGTCAGGCCTATCTATGTAAACGATTTAGAAAAAGTTCAGTCGATTCACTTGCCTAAATCAGGGTTGGGCAAAGATACATAAAAATGTATTTTTAAAATAAAATACCAAATACCTTCATTTTAACAAATATCAAAATAAACTACTGTATTTTTGTATTTTAAAAATACAAAAATACTTTTGCAAGGAAGCATGAAATTTCTTTGGAAACCTTCCATCAATTGGCCTATTTTATCTATCCCTTCACCATTAAACTGACGCAGTTGATTAAGTAAACAATGTTTGACAGCAACAGCTTTTCTCTGCCTGAGTCATGCAATAAATCTGACATATGCAACCAGTTAACAGATCAAATATTCACATATCCATGTGATCTCCCAGATGAAGATTAGTTTTAAAGTAACCAACAGTTTAATGTTTAACAGTTTGTAAATGATTCATAATTGTATCCTTATTTAGTTACTTGGTGTATGGTAACGAAGGGCCTACTTTGCATCAGCAACACTGACTCAATGACAAACAAGTCATTCATAAGAAGACACTGATGGCACCTATATTCATAGCAACTAGTTTCTAACTAATCAATCATTTGATTGTTAATCATAAATATAATAATATATTATGTGTCAGGTAGTCATTCATGCAATGGTATGCAAAATCATGATCCCACTAAACAGCTACTTCAAGTAAGGTACAATTTTCAGCAATCAAATATTTATTTCTCAATCATTGGACACCTATTTGGAAGTTGAAAACAAACATTTTAGCATTACAACAATTATTAAATGATCGATATGTTTTTATTTTAAATGTAGCCAGAAATGTAATCAGAAAAGAGCAATAGAACTTGTCAAGGAGTATTAATCCAACTCCAACCACTGAATCTATTGAGAGCCATAGAAGTATAGAGGACACATATATACTTATAATAAGTGCAACTGCACCAAGCACATCACATTCTATTACTCATTCATCCATGCTTCCTTTTCCACTCCAGTGTTCAAATAATTCCTGCCCACTAAAAGCTGCATGGATATATTTGCTTACCCCGTCAGGCCTATCTATGTAAACGATTTAGAAAAAGTTCAGTTGATTCACACTTTATATCATCGCCACGATATGTATTGTCATATCACCCAGCCCTTTTGACAAGCTAGTTGATAAAAAAACAACAACCGATTAACTCTTAAAACTGATCGGCTAACGCTATTTTTCCCCTTGTCAGTGCTCTTTTATTCTTTCATGTTAACTGAAGGTAAATCTGAATGATGCACTATTTTAAAGGGGTCACATGATGCGATTTCAAGTTTGTAATTCTGACTTTGCTATGACAATCTGGCGCTTCTTAATCAGCTACTGTTTTGTTATTAGTTTAAGTATTTGCTATTGACTGTTCAAAAAGTTTTGCGCATCGTGTGTGTGTGTGCGAGAGAGAGAGAGCGAGAGAAAGCGAGCGAGAGAGCGATAGAGAGAGAGAGCGAGAGAGAGAGCGATAGAGAGAGCGAGAGAGAGCGAGAGAGAGAGAGAGAGCACAAGAGAGACCTACAATAATGTACAGTATTTGAAAAATAATGTGTTTTTTGAACATTAAAGCATGTCATCATATTCTGTTACACCAAATACACAAAATAATGATATTTAAAAAAGCATCATATGACCCCATTAACTTTAATCAACATGTACAATTGACTGTGACATCCTCACCTGATCTTATTCCAGAAAAGTCACTCACCCAACGCTGAATGGAGCTGTACAGCTGCAGCTCAAGTGATGAATGTTGGGGTTGGGGGGAGGGGGTGTGTCTGAACTAAATCAGCACCCTGATAAAGAGGTTGACTGGCACAAAGTATTTTATGTATTTTGAAAATACAAAAATACTAATCTTAAATGTATTTAAATACAAATTACATTAGATTTTTGCCAAAGGCTTTAAAATACAAACTAGTGTTTTGTATTTCAAATACGAATTTTAAAATGCATGTATCTGAAATACTGCCCATCCCTGGCCTTACTCTCTCTTTACAGATAATACGCATATTTAGGAACAACATATTCATATAAAAACATTTCATCTTCTATACTGGCATACTGTGCATATGTTTTCAACGTATGGCTGACTGACTACTGTGGTCAGGTACAGTAAACAAGTACAATCAACTCCAAGGAAGCATGGGGGTGTCCCTTCTGTTGGGATATTTTTAAATAATTCTTTTTCAAAAATGTGTTTCAGTGTTTGCATTTGACAGTTTGTATTTGTGTAGCTATATTTTACAAAAGTGATCAAATTAAACCAACTGAAATTATGCTTTATTGAGTCACTCTAGGTATCAGCTAAATGGGACATTATTTAGTGCTTTTTGTTTTGTTTGTTTGTTTGTTTGTTTTTGCTTGTGCCAATTCTTACTGCCATCCCCATATTGGTGTGTAAAGACACAATCATAAAAATGACTCATGGCAGTACAATATAGTTCTGCCCCTTTCTCTAAAACAACCAGTCAAACATCAAAGTGCCACTGTTTGATCTTTGAACACAGTTGTGTATAAAAGGGGAAGCATTCTGAACACATACTACCAAGCAGACACTGTCCACCACATAACCAGTTTATTTTAAACTGTGAAATGAAAATATTTATATTTTATTGTCCAATTGTAATCTGACCTGAATATAATGATTTTTGGGGTTTTTGTTTTTTTTACTTCCATTAGCCAAATTTAATTTTAGGGGATTATATTAGCAAATCGTCTTTCTTGGAAAGTAAGTATTTCCTCTGAGCTTCATTCATTTAAATTAATAATTTTAAGTTCTTTTAAACATTCCAAAAATTCTCAAGACAGCTGTGTATATTTCTCTTTTAGATTAAATTGGCAAGTTCTGCAGAATGAAGTTCAGAGTATTGTTTATCGTTTCTCTCTCCATGTTTTCATGTAAGTTTGACTAATATCTTGATTGTTGAACACTTAATTTCATTATTAGATTTCCTAATCGTATTACTTTTATTTTTAGATGGGACATGTCAAATAAAGGGTGTCATTCACCAGCATCCTTTGGTAGTTGCTGAACTTGGAAGCAGTGTGATTTTACCCTGCTCTTATTCATTTGACATGATACACACTGTTTCATGGTATAAACAGACTGTTGGCAAAAAACCTCTTCTTATTGCATATTCATCTCATCTCTCAGTAAGTTTTATATATCAAAATGGCTTTGACAAGGTCGAACGGTATTCTTTTGAAGTTGGAACTGACTTTTTAAATATGAGCATCATAAACCTGAAGGAAAATGATTTTGCAAACTACTATTGTGCTGTGACCTTCTTCAACACAATTCAGTTTGGAGAAGGGATGATTTCGCTACACAAAGGTGAGACTTCTTTAAAACGAGCTGTTTTGTGAGAACTTTTACTGATGTCACTCCTGTATTAATAAACTAAAATTGTATTAGTAGAGAATGACATCATCTTGATGGATTTCTTTCAAAGGTAAAGATTCTGCCATTGGGTCCATAGTTCTCCAGCAGCCTGTATCTGACAGACTTCATCCAGGAGATTCAGTGACTCTGCAGTGTTCGGTCATCAGTCAGATCTGTGCAGGAGAATACAGCGTCTACTGGTTCAGACATTCATCAGGACATTCTCATCCAGGACTCATTTACACCCGTGATAACAGGAGTGATCAGTGTATGGAGAAATCAGAGAACGGCTCTTCTACCCAGAGCTGTGTCTTCAATCTCTCTCAGACTGAACTCAGACCATCTGATGCTGGGATTTATTACTGTGCTGTTGCCACATGTGGGAAGATACACTTTGGAAATGGAACTAAGTTGATAGTTGAAGGTACATAACATGTTTATTTTGATACAGAACATACCACACTATCTTCAGTTGAAAATGTGACTTATTTCTTTGTATTTATGGTGGTACATGAAAACTGTTACTATTTCAGCATCTTCGACTTTAACTTTTTGGAATCCAGTTGTTTTAACCCTGTTCACAATAAGCATAATATCCATTATGGTGAACATATTTCTGGTGAGACTAATTCACAAGAATCACAAAAAAGGTAAATATATTAACATAGGCTTGTGGTAAAATTCTATAATGTACTAATATTAAACAGTAAATTGCTATTTTTGACATTTTTGAACTGATTTTGAAATTTAAATCAGTGTAATTAAAGTATATTTTATTATTATCCAAATAAGCTTCAAAACAACCCAGAAATCAAAGGAATCAGTTAATCTGTTTTTATTTCCCCTGTAAATAGAATAAGGAATTCAGATGTTTTATAATAGCACATTACATAAATGCTGACAACTCGCAGTGATGATACATTTAGACTTCAGGGAAATAAGTATATGTGGATCAATGTCAAAATCTAGCAACTAGATTAAAGCTTTTTTTCCTCAACATTTTGTCCTAAAACATTTCCAATGTACATGTGTGGTTTCTGTATAGGCTACAGTACATTTACACCAATTCATAAAATGTGTGGTTTTTCAGTGATGTAGTTTGCCCCAAACTTAAAACAAAAAAAAGTAGTGTATATTACTTAACTATACATTAATGACTATTATTATTTTTGTTTTTTTTTTTTTTTTTTTTGTATTTTTCCTCTGCAGACAGAAAGCGATGCCTTAAATTATGTAGCCCTGAGTTTTTCCAAAAGGCTTACAACCTCAAAAAGATCTTCAGGGAAAACCAGCCAAGAAGAAACTGTTTATTCACAGATCACAAATCAATAGTTCAGAGAATTACTAATGCAAATAAATTGTTGTTAGCATAGTTTTTGTAGTAGATGTTAATTTTACCAATCTGGACATAAAAATAGATAAAATAGAATAGAATAGATTACTACTTTATTGTCATTGAGCAACTGTACAACGAAATTTAGTGATTCTCCTCAGAGGTACATCTGACATTTATTTATTTATTTTTTTTATGTATGAATATGAACAGGATTAATACAAATAAAAATACTTTCCACAACTTTCTTTTTTTTCCCCACCACCTGTCCTTTTTGTCTCTGGCTGCTCGTGCACCTTCCTTCCAGTCCATCATTTGGAGGAAAAACTTTTGCGTTGATCGAGTGTTCACATTAAAGATGAGAGGAAACGCCTTCCAGTTGATTTCAATTGCTGCACTAGCTGATACATGAGTTCGTAAAACTGCCAACAGTTCCAAAACACACGCTTGCTTGATTGATTTTTTTTTTATTATTATATTTTTTTTATTTGTTTGTTTATTATTATCCAAATGAAAAATATTTATGCAAATAGCATTGATACAGCAGTATGAACTATCATGAACACGATGACACAATGGTCATTCAGTGCCATTTGAGTCCCCATGAGATGGTATATTTTGTGTAAAAATGGGCTAATATTTGTTTTTTAAATGCTCACTTTACACAGTTACTGCCCCTCTACCATAGAACACAATAAATATGAACCCAAAATTAATTCATTAAAAATAATTACTCTGATTTTAGTGCAAGTAGGCTAAACTGCCATGTCCCCAAGTAAGCTTGCATAACTTCAGCCATGTGTAATGAATTCAGTCCACTGAAGGCGAGCGTAGTGAGAACCCATGTGCAGTTTTATTTACAAGTGATCCAAACATCCAAACAATAAACGAAGACTTGACTAGACTTGACTTGAACAGACTTGACGAGGCATGAACAGACTTAACTCACCGACAGCAGATTATAACATCAATACACAACCAGGCACAATGACAACATGAGGGAAAGCACTGATGTTATGTGGATGCCCGCAGCTCGCACCGACATCAGAGGTGGGTCCATCACACTAGCAATCAGACCTTTCAGTCCAAGCCCAAGCTCCGCGTCCGACTCAGGCGTGGCGGCCATCTTGGCCGGGGACTCAGGCGTGGCGGCCATCTTGCAACAAAGCTCTTCAATGGCGGCCATGTTGAGAAGAATCTCTTGAGTGACCGGTATGATGTGAGCAGGCTCTGGCTTGGCAGACGTGACGTGAAGAGGACTTGGCGTAGCAGACATGACGTGAGCAGGCTCTGGCTTGGCTGACATGACGTGAACAGGCCCTGGGGTAGCAGACATGACGTTAGCAGACTCTGGCTTGGCAGACATGATGTGATCAGGCTTTGACTGGGTAGATATGACATGAGTAAACTTTGACTTAACTGGCATGATGTGAGCAGGTCCTAGAGTAGCGGGCATGACATGAGCAGGCTTTGGCGTAGCAGACATGACGTTAGCAGGCTGTGGCTTGGCAGACATGACGTTAGCAGGCTGTGGCTTGGCAGACATGACGTGAGCAGGTTCCGTAGACTCTGAAGTGACTTGAATAATCCCAGACATAATGTGCAAACATTTTGGTGTGGTGGATACTGGAGGATAGCAGGATTCCTCATCAACTATCCCCACAGTAAATGGAGAGCCAGCCAAACGGAGTGCAAAGTCAATGTATTGTTCCAGTGACCAGTGTGGGGTATTGCGTGGCATTAACTGTGAAATGTTTTTGTCCAAACCAAAACGGAAAATGTCTTTAAGGAAAGTATTGTTGAAGTCTACCAAATGACACAATTGACAAAAGTCCGCCACATAATCCTCAATGGGCCTGTTAACTTGGCGGAGGCGAACTAGGCGATCTGCTGGGTTCATATTGGTGGTCGTGTATTCTGTAACGAATTCAGTCCACTGAAGGCGAGCGTAGTGAAGAACCCAAGTGCAGTTTATTTACAGTGATCCAAACATCCAAACAAGATACACAGACTTGACTTAACGAGGCATGAACAGACTTGACGAGACATGAACAGACT